TGTGTGTGTGTGTGTGTGTGTGTGTGTGTGTGTGTGTGTGCGCCAGCTTCACCCCGAGCGCTGGAGCGCATTGGAGCGTTGCAGCTACTGGCTTCCTTACTGAACAATAGCAAACAGGCTCTCCACCACCACCAAGAGCATCTCCCTCTGTGTCGTGGTTTACTCAGCCCATATACTGTACACTCTCACAACCAGCTGCTTTAGTGTGTCCTCTGTATATGGAGTGTACACACCCCCACACTTTTGAGTGGGACACTTGCAGAAAACTGTGTGAGCAGCACACCTTTGTTTGAGCAGCAGAGAAACCCCAAAGCACAGTGCCTTTACCTCTGTGATAGGCCAGTTGTCTATAAACCAAGCCCAGATCTACCATAAAAAGAGATTACGACAGGAAATGCAGTAATACAAGTAGGTCAGACACCCTTATGAACTGAAAGAAGTACATTCAATTACAATTTTACCATGACTCAGCAGCATCATTTAAAAAACAGGACTGAGCAGTAATAAGCCGTATTTCTAGAACTGGAAAGAGGCTCCTTTTAGCAAACAAATTCAGTCCGATTCTAGTTTTCCATCTTTCTACCAAACTCCAAACCCCTACAATATTTATTTTGGCTTTTAGTTATTGGTATTTACAATGTGATTGGGGTTTTCACAATAAAATGTCCATACAGTGACAAACTAGAAACTTGATCATTTCATTTACTTTGAAGGAATTTCCACTGAATGAAAAGGAAGATAATAGAGGGTGGGGACTTATTTCCATACCAAAAATAAAACGCAGTATTGCTGACTTTGCAAGTTGAGTGTTTTTGGCACAGGAAGGAAGCAATGCCAGCTCTTTATAAAGTGGTACCCCAGGGGTACAACAGATTAATATGACCAACCAATGAGACGTTTACAGAAACTGGAGAGAAAAGATTCAGACACGCGATCTTTGTATTTAATTTTTTATTTTTATTGATAAAATACAAGCATATTTAAATGTGCAAAAATAATATTTAGGAAAAAATGCAGGTCATGCAGCATTACATTAATTTTGAGTCAGATGACAGCACACGTCACACAAATGCTAATGCAGGCAGTCAGGCACCCACCTCTACAGACACATTTATAATAGGGTGCATTCAATAAACACCCTTTTATTTATTGATGGATCTTCTTAGATGTAGCTCTATCAATGGCCTGAAGTATGACTTGGCAATAATAACAATAAACAATTACTTACCTTTAATTTCTGAAGCCAGTAGCAGAGTGTGTCCTGACAAGCATTACAGTACAGCAGCAATGTGGCTACCCCAACTACCCACAATTATCGCATCTTGGAGACCAGATTTAAAAGACTCCTCAGAAACAGACAAGGGAAGACTATGTCTTTTCCTGCACTGAAATTACTAAGCCCCTTAATGCTGGGTGGAGATTCCCTTAAAGTGTCAGAGGTCACTATATCCAAGTGAGAGACTGGTTTACTTTGCTGTTACACTGCTTTTTCCCAGTATCCTTGTACTAGTAACAGAGTTTGGTCACTTGCCCATTAAGGTAAAACTCTGCTAGTCCCCCAATGGCACAGTTCCAAGACTCATAAGTGATTGATCAATCATGATCGAAATAATTATTATTTACTTTTTTCAAGTAAAAAAGAAAAATCTAATCTCTCTGGCCAAAGAAGTATAATTGTACAGACACGTCAGGAAGACAGCTTGCAGATAATCCAGTTTCCTGTCTTACCTGTATTGGTGTGTAAGTCCACTCCTTTAACACTCAGCCGCCGTTAGACAGGCCCTCCTAATTGTACACATGCATTTCGAGGGCCAGAGCTGTGCGCTAACCTGCAGTTTTCAGGACCTTCTTGACCTTGGCGTGACAAGGATGTCTGATCCACACCTTGCAAACGGTCAGGAGAGAAAGGCCAGCCTGGGGTCACTGGCCAGCAGTGGCTCAGCCCAAAGCAGGGGTGAGACAGAGTCGGAGCTCTCTCAGGCTGTCGGAGACAACTTCTGCGCTGGGACGAGCCATCACCCAACTACCAACCATTGACGCTGTGTTTCTACAACAAAAACAACAGAAAACGGTGCATTAACAGGGCACTGCCCTCTGTCTTGGTTAGCCTGTAGACACAGGGAAAGGACATGTCTTTGTGCAGAGTAAAAATGCATTGACTGTAAATATATATGCAAAGTTTATTCCTCTACATATAAATTGAAAATACAGGCCTGACGCACTTATACTGCCACAATATTCATGAACGCAAAGAGAAGCAGCATCGCTGTCAGGTGAGCATGTGTGCGGCGTGTGTCCATGCTGCTCTGTTGTTTACGTCTGGGCCGGGGAACAGGCAGCAGGCAGCCCTTATCAGCTGGGGAGGTCAGGCAGCGATGACCCCGAGACTGCAGCCAGACACCGGTCATGAGCAGGGCTGTCTGGGCACTCTCACTGACCCCTGGGCTGTGAGGACGGAGGTGGGTGGGGCTGGGGGTTGGGGCTGTGGTGATCAGACAGATCTCGCCTCTGGGATTCATATCTGGATGCGCTCTGTGTCCCACGGACGTCACCTCTCATTGGGAAACATGGAGGCTCTCGGTCATATTTTCCACCCACACCAGGGTGATACAGTTGATAAGACAGTGCTGTTTTCACTGCCACACCTCTGCGTCAGAATGAGTAAAGTCAGATGTAGCAAGAGATTTGCAATAATCCTGCCTAGCCATTAAAATTGCTCGATCAGGTCAGAACAACATTGCTTTTGTAAAAATTTTCAATTTGATCTTTAATCAGACGGTCATGGAAATGTTCTACGTTGCAATGATATTGCTGCAAAAAGAAATTGTGGTTTCTCAAATTAAAAAAGGAAAATCCGGAGAGCTGTGCATTAGATAATAAACAGACTATGATTTAATTCGTTATGTTGCCTGCACCTCCACTGGGTACCTGAAGTGAGCTATTTCAAACACAGTTTGCAACATATTTCCGACCGTGCGCACCTCAAGACAGCGGCACTTAAATTGTTTTTTTGCAAGGCCATTTCCTGCGGAATGGGCCAACCGAGACTTGTTCAGAGTCTAAAATAGAGGTGAAGATTAGTTAAAAAAATCTTAATATCTGACCCTTGGACTTCTACTCTTTTCTCTTTGCCTGGCTGGGTTGAGTCCTGTTCCGCTGCAGCTGAACACCAGGAGTGACAGCCACGCAGATCTGTGCAACGCCAGCAGACAGGCTGGCGAATTGTCGCAAATGTCATGCAACATGATTTATTAGCATTTTAGATTGGAGGGAGAGGGGGAGGAGGTAGACAGTGCCCCATTCAGGACAGGACAGCTTGGGAGATGGTACGCCACAGTCTGCTGACTGGAAGCCCTGGTGATGCCTAATAAATTCAGGGCTTGGCTGTGTGTTGGGGTGTTGGGGGGGGGGGGGGGGTCTGGGTCACTGGAAAAGTCAAAAGTGGAGGTTTGGTGTATGTGTGTTTCTGGTGGGGGGGGGGTTTGAAGGGGGATTTCTAAATGTCTGAATGTTCATTTTCAGACAGCTGTTGTCTGTTGTCCCATTAAGGTTTGGGACAGAGATGGGAAAGAGATGGGGGCGTCAGTGTTTAACCCTTTGTATTCTGATGCTCCGGGGCCCCGTTTATTTAAGAGGAGTTGTCTGATGAATACTAATGATGTGCTGTCCAGACATAACTTATAAACATGTGCTGAAAGGGGTGGCACCTAGCTGTGCCTAAAGGAAAAAGTGTGCAATCATGTAGATTGGGATAACCCAGTTATTGTACAAGGATCACTGTACAATTTATACATTTAAGACATTTGAACTGCTTTCTTTTTTTCCTTTCCGGAGAGAGTAAATTATGGTTACATCTTCTAAATTTGTCGTGGATGAAAATGGTAGGAGTCATGGAAAACTTTAGAGACCTATCAAATATTGTACATTTTTTTTCTTTGCAGACAATGTGGCCCAGGAATTACTGAGTAGTACCACAGCTGGAGTAGAGCAGTTATACAGCGTTCTTATAACTATATTTTTCTTTTGAAGTGAGTGGGTTTACACAGTCCAGGTCATTTAATTACATATAAAAATCACACTCTTTATTCCTAGATATTTAGGGATTAAAATTATAATGGAAGGACAAAATAGCTCCGTTTGGATTTTTAATAACTGCATCTTTGCTAGTAAAAGTGGTGTTTTTAAAATATATTTATTTTTAAAACAAAAATACTAGTCACTGGACTTTTGTCATTTTTAATAAAACAAACTACATAAATTACATGTTCGAAGACTGCTGTTTATTATTTTCTTAATTTTGTTTATGTTTGTTTTTCTTAAACCTTTTTTTGGTTAAACTTTGCTTTTTGTACTTTTATTACTTATATATTAAAAGGCAAAATGCATGATCTAAATTTTAAAAAGCAGCACAATGACATTTGATTTTACATTCTATGCGATATATTACATTTGTAACATGTTACTTTTTCTAGTCAGACCAATGAGATTTATAAACTGCCCAGAGTGAAACATTCAGGAACTGAAGGAACAAGCTTTATTTTGCTAGCAGGTGAACGATGTGTTTAGAAAGCGTGGCCCCAAAATATAGCTGCACAATTAAGAAAGAGAGAAAATTAAAGGCACAACAGTGAATAAATCATTTTTCAGTCTAGAGTGAGCTAAATAGTTACGTGAGAGAACTATGGGTTGAAAATTGAATGCAAAGACAGGCCTTTGAGTCAGTGGAAAGGGTCATGGTCATCCTTGCTGACACGATCATGAGGGTAACGAAGAGCCCTGAAACTGGAGCAGGAGGAAAGCCCACCTCCTCTCCTGACTGCGGCTCTGCCCGGGTTCCGATCTGCTTTGTCCCACGGAGGAGCTGAGTGTGAGAGTGAGTGGGAGCTGCCAGGACCACGGGGTCTGGAGCCCCCCTCTCTATATTGTGTCTGCCCAACAAAGACGTAGCCCCTCATTAAAAATCCATGTCATTGGATCAGCCCTCGTGTGAGCCAAGTGAATCTTCTCCGCTGTAAGTGACCATGACCAAGCCCTGAATGAGGCACTGGGGCTGGGTTTGCCAATACAGCGCAATACGGGCCCCCCTCCAGTCCATGGGCACCACCTCCTCACAGTGGGTGGGCTACTTAGCCATTGTTCAGCTGTTAGCTGATGCCGTCGTAAAGAAAAAAAAGGCCCTTTTATAGACTCTGTTAAGCAAACCGCATCCTGCAGCTCCTGGAGTTTGTACTTTGTTGCCCGGGAAGAAAGGAAAACAAACAAACAAGCCAGAGATGACAAAAAAAAACGACCGCAGGAAAAACTCAATTGAGCGGAACGGAATTTAACAAGCAACAACAACACAACACAACACAACAAGCCGTTAGCTTCTTCCCGTTAACTGTCCACTCTCGGCTCATGAAAAGATGTGAATCAAAGGGGGTAGTTCTGTTCCCTGGCGGTCTTTCCCCCAGACCCTCTGTGCTTTGCGAGTTTGCACTGTGCATGCGGTCTTCTCATGACACCGCAAATCCAAAAGAGGTGGTGAGGCACTGAGATTGGAAAGCCCCCAGATTAAGAAGGACACTGCACTACTGGCAGGAACGCTCATTTCCCAGGACACCACTGAAACTCACGCCAGAGAGCAGCTGACCGAAGGGCTGCAGACACAAGAAAATAAGAAAGGTTGAAAATAAGAGGGATGCCATTCAAGTCATCCACCTTGCATGATTGAGAAGTAGAAGGTTGCTATGCAGTTGGGACCCTATGGAATGAGATGCTCTTTTGTGATTTGAAGTCACACCAAGTACTGCACAGTCTAGACTCGGGGCTTCCAACGCCTTTGTTGTTGGGGATTAACTGGATTTGAACACAGATCACTGCGTCTAGATTTGTTTTAAGACAAGTTTGCTTTGCACGGGGCTTGTGGGATTGTGCACAGAGCTTTGTGCTTTGGCGGTTCTTGGAGGGCCGGTGGCTTCACCCCACTTTGTGGCGTGAAATCGGGAACAGACGTGCAGATCGGGAAAGACAGCTGACTTAACCAAACTCGGGGCTGCGAGGAGCTGGTGGTAAAGCAGATCTAGAAATCACACCTGAAGTGTCACCATTCTTGCACAGGCACAGAGAGAGACTGTCGAGCGGAGGTTATTAATATTCTTCTGAATGCATGTATGCACGCTCAGCACTGCTTTAGAGAAATAGCAAAGATGGCCTTAGTGAGGGCTTAATGCTGCCCCCCCCATCCTCCGAGCGCAAACCTTCCCATCTCACCCCTACAGACTCAGAGCGAGGACCCCTGGAATCGTTGCTATAGCTGTCTAGTGTGAGTGCCTGACAGAAGGCAAGGTGGCATATGGCACAGTGTTAGTGATTACAGGGGATGAAGCCATTTTAAAATCATTAAAATTCATTTCTCAGAGATTTTCAGAAGGGCTGAGAGAGCTCCAGCTCACAGACACTGTCGGTCAGAATAGCACACACCCCCCCTTCTTGCCAGTCCAACCCCTTTTCAGAACAAAAAAAAAAAAGAGGCAAAAACACTCCCCTCCTTTAGAATTAACAGAAAAAGTCCTGCAGAGCTGCGGCCAGGAATTCGTTTGAATAAATTTACATATGGATTATGCTGTCTGGCTAGGAATCATCTGAAAAGAGAATTCGCAATGCAAACGATCATCTTAAATAATAACAATAATTAAAATGACGATGAGGATTAGTGATACAAAACCCACAGGATGTGCTTTATTTTAAGAGACATGCTGGGTAGGAGGGACAGAACAAGCTGATGGTCCAGCTTTGGGCATATTTGTCATATCTGGAGCCTTCTTATTACGGTGCCACCCAACAGGCACAAGCAGGAGAGCATTTGTCCACGGGAACGGGGCTCGTTCTGTGCAGAGCCGTGTTACTGCACCGGAGCATGCGTCAGTCTGTGGGCACCCCTGTACCCTTGTCTCCGGCAGTCACTGCTGCGATATTGCAATTTCTGCTCTCTAGCAACCAGTGCACGCACTCACACGTGCACACAATCACACTCGTGCGTCCTTGCACAGCGCTGTTCCCAAACCC